AAAAACATCACACGATTGCCTTGCACCCCACGCGTCTCGGTCGGTCCGCTCGCCCGTTCGTCCGGCCGCCCTGGCCTAGCTACCGTCCTGGCTCCACCAGTCTCTCTCTAATCAGATGCAGACTCGACTCTTTCACGGTGTTTTTAAGCCTCCACTTCGGTTATATTCATACCTCTTGGAATGCCTCGGGGCAATTTCTCGTGGAGCTTTACAGCAGCCTTCAATTCGTGTCATTATTATTAGAATTTCAGAGGAGTAACTCGTATCATTATTGACTCACGATTGTCAGGAGGACCAGTCAAATAGAAACGTAAAGAAATATTCGAAATGCAATGTGCGTTAAGGGGAGGGGGGCGGAGGGGGGGGGGGGGGGGGTGGAGGACACTTGAACTCATTCAGTAATTATTCCGTTATAAAAACACAATGTGATATTAACGGAATTGTACAATGAAAAACTAGAAAAGTGCGAGAGGAGATTTGTAGCCGAGTTTAACCTGAAGGTGACTGGAAATCACAGTCAACGAAAAATTTTTCCTTGCTCCATTTTCATTTTACATTGGGAAGTGTCGAGTCTGGAGCGGGTAGACTAACGAATGCAAAGAGCTTACAGTGGGCTTAGTCTTTCTACTTCAACCGCAATGTAATATAATAGTATTGAACAACTTGCTAGAGATTGGTAATTTAAAATATTATTTAAATTTCTTTCTACTTTAGTCATCATTTCATTTCATTTCTAGATTCAGCCATCTTTTTAAAATGAAATATTCTAGAGAGTAACGTTTTCATTCGAAATTATAAATGAATACCTTTACCGTCAATTGCAGATAGATGTTCATATGCCGGGCAGACGAAACAAGGCAAACAGGATGGCATCAATTCCGCTATTTAATTGCATCTTGCGCTGACTCGCCCCTTTAAGGAGGGGAAAAATACGTGCATTCTAATCGCATTTCACACTTTGCTTCCTCCCGAGTGTGCGTGACGTCATAAAAATCACTATATTTCAGGATTAATTGATTTGATATGCACCGTAATGGCGGCGACAAGCCTTTCAAAATTTAATCACATGACCGAACAAAATGGCGGATGTCACGGGCAATGCGCCTAAACAGAGACTGACATCTCGTGCGCGGGCTTTGTCTTCATCTTTCTGTTATTGCTTGCTTGGATGAAATTATCTGTGAGTAAGGTTGTCTCTCTCATTGCAATCAAGGTCAGGTTCTCTTTTCATCATCATTTTGTCAATGTGTTTATGGAAGCATAGTGATGATTTTGTAAGAATTTAAGAACACTAATGGGTGTATCGTTTGATTTGTATTATTAGTGAAACGAGGGCTCCCCCTTATAATGTGAATAATTACATATATCTTTGGATTCAAAATACCGGAAGGTAGTCTGCGAGAATGAATGCGCAGAAGTAGCAAATAATTTGCACATTGGAGTACATAAAATAATTATGTTGCAGTTCATCATTTGTTAAATGGAAACTGTTCAAACAATATCAACGATAAAATTGCAACTTGATGAGGTTTAATGTATGAACATTAATTTTTCCCCCAAAATGGGTAATTACTTTTCCTAATGGTAATGCAACAATAGTCTTTATGTTGTCTTTAATTATCATTATGGTACAATAATATATAATATTTGATGCAAGCTTGGAGAGGAAATTTTACCCTTTTTAGATTTTCCTGTATATGAGCAGTCATCCTTTACAATAAAAGCAACAATTACCTCGTGTACTCTCGTAAAAACAAAGTTTGAGAAAATGAAACAAGCCCTTAAGACTAGTTTAGTTATTATCTCAATATTTGCCTTCCTAGTTTATTTTTTTGTTTTTTAAAGAGGTTTCAGAACATATTAATAATATGTTCTGAAACCTCACCAAATAACTCTTTAAAAAACAAAAAAATATAGGTTGAGAAAAGGAAACAAGCCCTTAAAACTAGTTAAGTTATTCTCTCAATATTTGCCTTCTTAGTTTAATATGTTCTAAAACCTCATCACTTTATACCTCTTTATAAAACAAAAAAATAATGGTTGAGAAAAGGAAACGAACCATCAATACTAGTTTAATTGTTCTCTCAATATTTGCCTTCCCGGTTTTATATGCTCCAAAACCTCCACAATCTTTTGGATTTATTTAAATATAGGTTTAGAAAAGGAAGCAAGCCCTCACCTGGGCTCAACACTAGTTTAGTCATTGTTTCAATATTTGCCTTCTTATCTTTTATATGTTCTAAAGCCTCAATATAGCATCGGAAATTCGTGATTAATACCATTATTAATATGATTTTTTTTTATTCACCTAGCATAGCGTGGATACTTGCGATTTGATGTATCAGATAAATGAATCGTGTACTTCAATGTAGCTGGAATACTCATGTCTAAAAAGTGTGTTTTCATTAATTTATTATTTGTCATAATTTCTGTTCAATGACATTTTCGGATATTTGGTTGTCTTAATGTATATTCAATGTCTTCAACGCTATAATATTATAGAAAGATGAATGAATAAGTAAATTACAATGTGGGGGACATTCCTTTATAAATTAATATTAAATAAATCAGAACCGGAGTCATGGTATTTGTGATAATCGTACAGTGACGTACGTTTATTAGTTTGCAGTTTATCATCTTCTGTACAAAAACAATCTGTAAGGACAAGTAAAACAACATGGAATAATTATGATCATCGTGTTTTTCATCACTTACAATCAACGGCTAGGTCTCATAATAACTACGAGAAAACACCGCAGTGTGATGTCTCTGACAAGGAGTGGGCCGAACCATTACAAAATCTACTTGAGTTCAGACTCTAAAGCAGACTAATTAGCTAAATTAATCGACCACGTAAATTGGAACTGAGTATTTGAACAAGAAAAGAGGGTATCTCGCGTTTACATTTCACACCATGGAAAGTGGCAGACGCTGGGAAGAAGAGACCACAGTCTCTTCGTCAGAAGCGTTTGCATTCATTCAGAGGGACGGACATATATTTTCTCTTTTTTTAAATCAGAAATTAAAAAAAAAGATTTACTTACAACCGTAATCCTATATAAGGCTATTGCGTTTCCTATTTCGACTGGACATACTGAATAGTATAATATAAGAACATGTGCGAGACAAAAATATTCTCTTCTGTTGGCAGAACTCGTGCGAAAACGTAACGATTCTTTTGTAGTTTCTTCCTAAATTCAATTAATACTAAATTCATTCAACGGTGGAGTAATACTACATTCAATCAAATGGATATTTCGTTACTGTGTCCATTTTAGAATGACAAATACGTCAAATTAGATAATTTTCATCCCTTCCAACACTGTAGATACAATTTTCGAGGTCAATTACTTTTTGACATTCGTTGTAAGATTTGCAATGTTTCAGCAATGATTCTCATTATTTCCAATGCAGCAAATTCTTAAACAGCTGCAACAAGCATTTGAATAAATCATATCAATCAACTACAGAAAATATAAACCATCTGTAGTCATCAAAATACCTACAGTATTTAATGAGGCATCGCTATATTTAAAAGCCGGTTCGGAGGAACAAATAAATGAACCGATTGTCATACGTCTTAGCGGTTAAAAAACTTAAATAGCAGTTATGAAAGTCTTTAGTTACATGTATTCTATGGATAAAATACGGTGACGTTACATTATGACATCATCCAACGATTTACTCTGGAGTTTATCTGTCTCTGGTTTACAGTGTTTTCAATTTCTGATTGAAAGGCTGATAATTCGGTGACATTTAATTCTTGTTCATATCAATAATTTAATAATAAAAAACAAAAACGTATCATTCTAATGTGCATCTTATTCGAACACATAGTGAACATACCCATCGTAAGAAATAACTGGAACATATTGTATACCACTAGTCGATGGTCTAGCACTTTGAAACAAAGTGTAACGACTACTTATCATACCTAATATAATAATAGAGTCTGTGCACAAAGTGTTTATTTTGTGAAAATAAATCAATTCTCTTGAAATGCTGTATGGAATCGAATCATATCCAAAATAATACTTCAATACCCTGTAGTAGTTTTATATCAATTTTGTTAATAAAATCTGCAAACATGGGCATGTATATCCCCATTTGAACAACGATATAAATATATAAAATAAATAAAATATAAAAGCCTAATAAATTCGGCTTGAAAAATATTATCATTCGTTGCACCAGTAAACATTCGTTTCATGTGTTTAACAATAGTTAGAAAGAATTGATAGATTTTTCTCTTTTTTATGTTCTTGTAGTCGAGCCTATTTAAATATCGAATATCATCAAAACAACGACACCGACAGAACACATGGGCGGCGTTAACAACACCTTTATTCTCATTATCACCCCTATGAAAATAATTATTGTATGATTTTAAGCATTTGAGTCATTTAAATTCCTCTCGTCCAATACTAATAACTTTGTAATATACCAGTTATACTAATCATGATAGAGCTTAAGATTTATGGGTTTTTTCTTCGTGAAACCACTATACGATTCACCTGCTATGTATAACAATATATCATGGTAAACATAATAAGGGCTAGCTAGGGATCGAACCCAATATCTTTGCATTGGAAAGCGATGGCTTGTCTACAAGACCACTCTGCCTCATTAAAAATGGGAAAAAAGCATTATCTCCATAGTTTTGGCATACACCTTGCATATTTTAGTTGTTGCTATGTTAAACATATCTGAGGCAAGCTCTGATTTTTCACGGGAAATATTTCTAGGACGTATGGTTATCGAATTGCAAGGATAATGTGATTATATTTAAAGAACTGGTCAAATATTAGAAATAAGGTAGATTGTCGACCGCCTTTAATTCTTGAAATTTTTTGGCAAACAGCTCCTATCTTAAAGTACCACATTATTTCTATTTTTAACAGTGTTTTTTCTTTCATACAGATATTATAATCATTGTTTTAATAAATAAGCTGTGGCACTGGTTCCACTTTCACTTAAAATTAACCCCCCCCCCCCAAAAAAAAAAAATATTCAAATACTCAGATATGGAGGGGAAATATGGCATTAGTTATACTTCACCAGAGACACCTTTCTTGGACAACTGTTTTAATCTTTTAACAAAGGCTGAACATTTCCATTCTGATTTATAATTGATGATTTATACACATTTTCCAATAAGCGTCCAGTAATGATGTCAACTAAAATGAAACCAACATCTTAATTTATGACTTTTTAATATTTTAACCCTTTGAATACAAGGGATGGTATTTGGAATGATCACTATTGCATAATGTCGAACGGCAGGAGAGCGTAATAACAAATTGCCATGTCACTCGACTTTCCTCAGTGTATAATATTCAATACAGAACCATAAGTTATATAATAGAGGCCATTTATTACTTCTGTAAACTAATGAAGCCATGTACCAATAAACAAGATATTACATAAGGTTAGCTTAATATCTATCCATCCATGTTTGTATTGGGAGATAATACAATCACGTAAAGATTAGGAAAATCTCGATATGACCTTCGTGAACGTTTGCCATCGGAATGTGCAATTCATATAAAATTAACAAATACAACAGCCACAATGAAGATTGATTTGATAAAAAATGAACATGTCCACTATGTCGATATTAATATAGTACAGAAGTACAGGAAGGGTGGATCGAATCGAATCAAAGAAAAGGAAGAAAATTGATACGACTAACTACAGTTTAAAAAATAAGTAATTATGTAGTAAAAGTATCGGCGAAACAGAAGTAATAACAGAGAATCAGACGCTGAGAATCACAACTCCCATTGCAAATGCACCTTACGAAATAGCTTACTTCTCGGAACACGATGTGTGTTTTACAATAATAACAACACCAACACTTATATATTACCCAACCACTCAACAAATAAATGATGTATTTCGTTTTTGCTTCTCACGAAAGAGTCCTTTTAGGTCCACCTGCGTCATTGTTGTCGTAGTAGTAACAAAAAATAACAAATGAAATGATCGGATTCTCAATTCATCCTCTTGTGTAATGGAAATATTGTCAGGGGACATGACTGTGATGATTATGAAAAAAAGCAACTCGAAACGTTGACTCTATCAGGTCTCCGGTTCTCCGTACTTGTTAGTGGTATCCATATCGCAATGAATGATGGGTAAAAAGACGAGCTAAACGTCACGTGGTTGTGTTGTATTCCATGATTCAGTGATCTCCGTAGAAGGCGTAAACGTTAAAAGTCGTAGCAAAATATATACACACTTTTTCTGTCCGTGAGATCAAAAACATGATAAAGGTCGACACGAATACGATAGAAATAATCTTAGAAAAGTTCCCCAACATTTTTTTTCCTCTCTCTCTCTCTCATATAATTTCACAAGCACCCATATAATCGAAATTGATATCGTCGGCTAAAATGATGCAGCCGACTGATACCGCTATCCAATCAGCACAACATAAATAATCACGTGACTGACGATATCCAATTGAAAAAGTTGGACAGGGCATGATGTTCTAGCGGGGAAAGTTGTGATGGCTTCGATTCCGCACATTTATAATCCACATGTATAGAGAGAACAGACTACACGATCGCATCATCCAACGCGCTGGAAATCACCAAACATTGAGAACGGTTTGATCACGTGATCGAAATATGGCGCCACTTTCTCCAGCTCCACTGATGGTGTCACGTGATCCACATCGCACACAGCGCGCACACAGCATTCTCCCGAGCGTGCGCACGAACGAATGAACATTTATTATCTCCACTTGTGTTTGAACGAGAGAAAACAAAAGGGAAACTTGGTTGGAAGGCTCTTGCCATGAAAAAAGCAAGACCTTCGAAATTCTACCTACTAGTCTCAATACAAGCCACACCCTCGTAGATTGTTGGCTATTATTGTGTCAGTGACGGCGTCAAAAACGAATTGAATATTGGTTGTGTCCGTTGCACATGTCATATGCGTATAGATTTCCTTGTTGGTGCTTTTGTTCAGTGCTTCAAATTGTAACTGTATGTATCCAGCAGCAGGCAGATACTCATTAGCACCTGTAACAAAGAATAAGTATAGAATGCATTAAAATGATGAAAAACTACAATGAGCCAAACATATTCCAGTTGATAGTTCTTATGATAGTTGTAAATCGTATTCACAAGAGAAATAATCCCTGCGTAAACGAAAGCAGATTGTCTGGCGGATTGTCCTTTCTTTCCGACATCTTGGGCACAGTTATAGTTTCTTGCTCAACGACCTATCATCTCCTCAGAGCAACAAGGGCACTGAATTGTATGGTGGCCCTGAAGGGACATCGCGAATAGGCTAAATCGTGAAAAATATGCGATAAAATTCACGATATCGTCAATTTTATCGCATATTTTTCACGAAGAAATTCACGAAATTGACGATATCGTGAACTTTATCGTGAACTTTTCACGATGAAATTGACGATATCGTGAATTTTATCGTGAAAAGTTCACGATATAAAGTTCACGATATCGTCAATTTTATCGTGTACTCTATCGTGTACTCTATCGTGTACTCTCCTGACGGGCGCTTCGTAAACAAAACCAGCCCTAGCTGGGGGAGACAGAGAGAAGGAAAAAAGGGAACGGGAAAGAGAAGATAAAAGGAAAGAAAGAATAATAAGAAGAAAAGAGGGAAACGGGGGGCGAAGGGCTCTTGCCTCCTCCTCACTCCCCCCCCCCCCCGCCAAAAAAACAAATAAGAGAGGGAGAGAGAGAGAGAGAAGGGAAAGGGAAAGAAAGAAGAGGAATAAGAAGGAAACAGTTGAAGGACGAAGGGCTCTTGCCTCCTCCCCCCCCCCCGCCAAAAATAAATAAGAGAGAGAGAAGGGAAAGGGAAAGAAAATATAAAAGGAAAAAAAGAAGAGGAATAAGAAGGAAAGAGGGAAACGGGGGAAGGGCGAAGGGCTCTTGCCTCCTCCCTCCCCATCCCCCGCCAAAAACATAAATAAGAGATAGAGAGAGAAGGGAAAAGGAAAGGGAAAGAGAAGATAAAAGGAAAGAAAGAAGAGGAAGAAGAAGAAGAAAAGAGGGAAACGGGGGCGAAGGGCTCTTGCATCCCCCCGCCCCAAAAAAAATAAGAGAGAGAGAGAGAGAGAAGGGAAAGGGAAAGAGAATAAAAAAGGAAAGGAAGAAGAATAAGAAGAAAAGAGGGGCTCTTGCCTCCCGCGCCAACAAATAAATAGGAGAGAGAGAGAGAGAGAGAGAGAAGGGAAAGGGAAAGGGAAAGAAAATATAAAAGGAAAGAAAGAAGAAGACGGAAAGAGGGAAACGGGGGAAGGGCGAAAGGCTCTTACCTCCCCCTCCCCCCTCCCGCCATAAAGGGAAAGAGAAGGGAGAGGGAAAGAAAATATAAAAGGAAAGAAAGAAGAGGAAAAAGAATAAGAAAAGAGGGAAACAGGGGCGAAGGGCTCTTGCCTCCTTTCTTTTCTTTCTTTTCCTTTCTTTCCTATTCTCCCTCTTTTTCGTTTTTCTCTTTCTTTCTTCTCTTTCCCTTTCCTTCTCTCTCTCTCTCTTATTTTTTTTTTGGCGGGGGGCGGGGGGACGAGGCAAAAGCCCTTTGCCCCCGTTTCCCTCTTTTCTTCTTCTTCCTCTTCTTTCTTTCCTTTTATCTTCTCTTTCCCTTTCCCTTTCCCTTCTCTCTCTCTCTCTGATTTATTTTTTGGCGGGGGGGGGGGGCAAGAGTCCTTCGCCCTTCCCCCGTTTTCCTCTTTTCTTCTTCTTCCTCTTCTTTCTTTCCTTTTATCTTCTCTTTCCCTTTCCCTTTCCCTTCTCTCTCTCTCTCTCCCTCTCTTATTTATTTTTTTGGCGGGGGGGGGGGGGGGAGTGAGGAGGAGGCAAGAGCCCTTCGCCCCCCCCGTTTCCCTCTTTTCTTCTTATTATTCTTTCTTTCCTTTTATCTTCTCTTTCCCTTTCCCTTTTTTCCTTCTCTCTATCTCCCCCAGCTAGGGCTGGTTTTGTTTACGAAGCGCCCGTCAGGAGAGTACACGATAGAGTACACGATAGAGTACACGATAAAATTGACGATATCGTGAACTTTATATCGTGAACTTTTCACGATAAAATTCACGATATCGTCAATTTCATCGTGAAAAGTTCACGATAAAGTTCACGATATCGTCAATTTCGTGAATTTCTTCGTGAAAAATATGCGATAAAACTGACGATATCGTGAATTTTATCGCATATTTTTCACGATTTAGTCTATTCGCGATGTCCCTTCAGGGCCACCATAGAATTGTATAAATACATACAGAATTGCTCGGAGGGAAAAAACGAGCATGAATAGCTCTACACGCCGCCTTCAGTCTTCTCCTCCATGTGTATGTGGTCATTTTTCAATGGAGCACACTAATGACTGTCGATAATTTATAATGGTTATATATTTTAGTCTGAACGAAAATACTAGCACAAATATTGTTACCATATTTGGAGTATTTTGGAGTATATCTGGTGTGATAACATAACACTAACATTGTCCTCACATAGTGGTAACAGAAAGTACCAGTGTATACTCACCAGTGTGAAACAGAATAGAAAATCGCTTCCATAACAAACCTGAAAATGTGAACACACTTTTTGCTTGTGTGAACAAAGTTTGTTTAAATTTGTTTCACATTGTAGTGACCGACAGAACCCCATGAAGTGCACACGACAGTGTATCCACAGATTCTGATTCGGTTATAAACCATGGCCTTCTCCCTTCCACCTGCTAGCTGGCATAGTGTGGAATCACCTTAGTCTAAGGTCACGTGGCCAATCACATGATCAGTCACATGGTCATCGACTTACCTTCGTATTCTTGAAAGCAGATGGTCAGCGGTGACTTCTGGATCTTCTCTTCGAACAGGTCCTTCTTGTTGAGGAAGAGGATAATGGAGGTATCCGTGAACCATTTGTTGTTGCAGATGGAATCAAAGAGCTTCAGGCTTTCTTGCATCCGATTCTATAGAGGGCGGATTGACAGAAGAAGGACAATATGTTAGGCACAAGTGTAAGATAGCATAATGAATACCAGTCCAGTCATTACAATTATAACTAGTATATCCTCAAGGACAACTAACCTCTCGACTATGAGGCATTATCATGACATAGGAAGCTACTTTATTGTCGTAATATCCCTTAAAACCTTCCTGGTTGTGACGTATCGCACGGAGAACTGGGACCCATTTCATAAAACTTGTCATCAGTGACAAATGACAGGTTTTGTTATAAGCTACTGAAATCCTTGTTTCTAATTGGTTATCAGCAGGTTTGTCAATGATGTTTGCCATTTGTCATTGAAAAAAGGCTTTGTGAAACGGATCCCTGATGAAGCGCGATGATATACTTGGAAGAGTTTGTTGTATGCAATACATGTCAATTTGGGAAGAAAGGCACAGTGGTTGCTGAAATAGGAAGCACTTCTGTCGATTCATGCCAATAGACCGGTTCCAAAATCCCATCAATCAACAGAAAATAGGATAATTGAGATTGAGGCCAAAAAAAAAGGTATGTCATTTATATCGTAATTGAATGTCCCATTTGTGTGCAATATTGTTACAAATTGCGTTGGTTTACTAAAAGATCTTTGTTTTCATCGCGCTTGCTCGAGCTCGCTGCAGTGTGTGTGTGATGTGTAGGCCAATGTAGTTAACAACAGGGAAAAGTATGTACGCAATCCAACGTACTAGTCGACTCCATGCGATACGTCACAGAACGGGCCGTGCGCAAACACAATGGCGACGTTCTGCAAATTCTCAGAACCGCGAAAGACGAAGGATTCTGAAGAAGAGTTATGTCCTCCGTGTCGTCAAATGTACGATGTTTTTAGATTTTTCAGAAAATGTTTTAGATGGCCTTCAAACTGAAATTAACATGTAGTTTGAGGTTAATTCTCCTTATAAACTTGTATCCATTTTCACAATTTTACAAGTGCGTGGAGGTAACCATGAACCATTTGCAGTTGTCGATGGAATCGAAAGAGCTTCAGGCTTTATTGCATGCGATTTTACAGACGACGGAATGACAGAAATTGGACAACAATTTAGGCACACGTGGGAGGTATCATAATGAATACCAATCATGAAATAATAACCATATCTTAAGCATTTTTAAAATTTGTCAAATATGTCTGCGTGGAGGTTACTGTGGACTATTTGTTACTGTGGAAGGAATCAAATGTCTTCAAGGCTTTCTTGCATACGATTCTGCAAAGGACGTGTTTGCAAAGATCCGGCAAAGATGGGACAAGATTCTTAGGGACAAGTGCAAAGATAACGTAATGGATACTCAACATACTAGATTATACACATTTAGTCATTGTTTCGGGACTAGTAGTAGTCTGTCTAAGACGGGGAATAGGTAATAATCTTCGTTGAAAACGATTGATTAAAAATAAACTTCTTCAATGTATATATTATTGCCTTTAAATCCTTTTCATTAGCATAACATGTGGTGTTGTTGGAATAATGGAAATAAGTGGGAAATTTACATTTAGTGCCCATTTTGTTTTGTATTATGCTGTAGGTGCACGTAGATGCATCAACGGGTGTTTTTTGTAATCGTCCAAGAATAATGAATTAGTAAAATCTTCGATCAGCGTTCATTTTCTGTGCAATCCGCTCTTAATAGTTATTTGAATTTTTGTCACAAATGTAAACAGTTCGAATATGAAATATTTATTTCATCACAAGTGCATCTAAACTTCTTTTGGAAAAATGGAGTATCCATTAATCTTAACAATTACCAAAGGATATAAATAACTTTGATATAAATACACACATACATTTTCAAATAACCGACACAGTAAATGATAACACTGGTTCATTTTCTTGCAATAGAAACTCTTCATTATTTTGCCTTGTGAATGCTTTGTGAAGAATCTCAAGAAAACCGGATATTATTACTTCCCTTTCTGTCTATTCATCATACACACGCCGGGAGGCGGATCCACTAACATTGGTCATAAACTTCTCCATACTGCGCGTCAACCACCACTGCAATTGTTATTAGATCAGCATGTGCTTTCTTAGTAAGATGTGAAAGCAGTGCAGTGTGTTTTCTTTTATCCGGAAACGTCCAATTGTGAACGGTCTTTATATTGAACCGAATCACAACCCGATTTTTCTCCCGCTAATGCTTCGCTTTGTGAGCTTATTTTACTCGCGTAGCCTTATATAGCTTGGTACAAAAAAAGGTAAATTTGACGCGGTCTAAATAGGGAATTGCATCTGACTACCGACCGGCCAGTCAACCGAAATAGATTGTCTTTTGTTGAAGCTGACACTTTTTAATCTTACGATGAATAGGGTATTTTGGGGAGTTACGACAGTTCTTGTTGGATTAAAATGCTATTTTTAGGTCTTAGTGCACATTCAAGCTTAGCATCTTCTATTCACCAAGGTTTGACCGCTTAGATGAGATAGCATGAAGGGCTGAGAGACGGAAACGAAAAGAGGGAGAGAGAGAGAGAGAGAGAGAGATGGAAAACGGACAAGTTAACATACAAATGAATATGTAGAGAGACAGAGAAGGATATGGAGAATGGAAGCAGACATAAATACATATAGATAGGGATATCGAGGAGCAAAGAGAACATGGACAGATACATGCATAATTTACATTGTTAAATATTAGAGTGCGAGTATGAGGAGAGAAGGGGTGTGTGGACATGACAGGTACATACAAAGATAGACATAGAGGGGTATAAATAATGAGAGAGTGAGAAGGGGAGAGGGAGTGGGAGAGAGAGTGAGTGTGTGTGGGTATGTCTGTGTGTGTGCGTGTATGTGTGTGTGACAGAGAGAGAGAGAGAGAGTGAGAAGAGGGAGTGTAATGAGGAACCATGATGGCTAAAAAAAAGAATTCATTAAAACGAAAATTGCAACCATGCACACTTTCAATGCAGAAATGTCCATTCCTCACGCTGTTTTTTCCATATTTTTTAAAGGAAATATTGTGTATTTACAAGTAGGTATTTTGTTGTTGATATTTTGGTTTCATTCTTTTTCGAGAATATTTTTCTCATTAAGTATGTTTTAACCTTAGTTTTCTATTAAATTTGTAATCAAAATAACATTTTAGGGCAGTTGTTTGACGTGCGGTATGTAACCATTTTTAAATTGTTGTTTATGTATTAAAATTTTATGAAGAACAAAAACGTACTTCCAGGAAAAACGTAATGGTGGTTGGCAGCTATGTGGGGGAACAAGAGTATAACATATTTAAACGAAGAAATAGAGAGAAAAAACAAGCTTGTTTTAACCTACCGTAACATCGTCTTCTAGCAGTCGCTGATCGTAGCCACTGAGGGCGACACAGAATATGATTGCTGTGACGTCTTCAAAACAGTGTATCCACTTTTTCCTTTCTGACCTCTGACCTCCAACGTCAAATAACCTGCATGTGATGAGATGAAATTAAAAATGATGATGATATTTCTATCATTATTTTCAGTTTCAGTTGCATTCTTTAAGGTTTTACTTGATAAAATTGTTAAATCCATATACAAACTCTATTTCACTATATTACACAACAGATGGCTACAAAGATGAGTGTGTAGCAGTATAATTCACTACTTATACTCCTAATACTACTACTAATACTACTTCTACTACTACTTCTACTACTACTACTACTACTACTACTACTACTACTACTACTTTTACTACTACTGCTACTACTACTACTACTACTACAACTACTACTGCTGCTACTACTAATACTTTTACTACTACTGCTACTACTTCTACTACTACTACTACTACTACTACCTTTACTACTACTACTACTACTACTACTACTACTACTTTTACTACTACTGCTACTACTACTATACTAGTATTAGAAGACTACTACTTTACTTGTTTTACACGTTGTCTCTCACTATGCATTGCAATCAGAAAATCCTCAAGGACTTAATTACTAATGCAGCAGAGAATAGCTTCTACATAATATTATATAACTAATTGAACTTCAAGTTTTGCAAAACATAATGGGAAATTATAGTACAAGTATCTAAATGAGCGTGAGTTGCTGATGAGCGAAGTGTTGAGTGTATACCTCGAGTGTATATGTTATTCTTTCTTCATTTTCTTTTTTCAACGCCAGGTAAGCACTTAAAGGGATCCATCCATGGCCCTTTGATCTGAAAGTTTCCTCAGTAAAAAATTCTTACGGGCAATACAGAATACTGGGTTTAAACTGTGAATACGTGGTAGCTTTCACGAAAGCTAAACTGCGCGTTACTTTCTTATCTAGGTTCAGCAAGTACACATAACTGATTAAACTTATTCTTACCTGAAATGAAGATTTTTGAAAGTGAAGTGTGTTTCTACGATTCCCGTTGTTTTGACTCGGGTTCTCAAGATATCTTGCTCATTCGGAAGGTAGTCAGGTGACCCAATTCTATCAAGATTATCTAGAAAACTGGAGAAAGAAAAGAAGAGAAACAAGCGTTACATAACGTGACTGCACAATAAGCTAGAAGGCTGTAGAAAAAAACCTTTGCCTATTATATTAAAACACCCACTCTTGTTCGTTTTCAATAATCCCTACATGTTTTTAGCAAAGAGGATGGCGAGAGAAGAGGAAATCTAGCTCCAATGAGCAAATTTGATCGGTCGATTAAGGAATTATATGAGGTTCCATTTTTTAAGCCTGTGGAAAAAATCATCTTGATACCGATACCGTTCTTTAATAAGGTGTTAAACTATTCTCATTTGTTCGAAAGACTTCTTTGAATGAATACTTTAATATCCAGGATTTGACAGGGCAGGGTGTATTATATCACATTCTATTAAGAGCTGCACCATTAACCTCTCTTGAACATAATCGCTCGAGATGAAGTTAGTGCATACATCCATTATGCACGCGTTTTACCTATCCTATGTGAAGCCTTACACTTCTAAGCTGCTTAAGATTGACGTCATAGAGAGTTAGATGACGTCATACGGAAAGATTATCGCCATTCAGCGAGTTCATCTCTGTTTTGCCGCGTTTTTTGGCCGGCAGGTGACGGCAACGAGGAGGGAAAAGTTGATTGAAAACGAGAAATCTGATCGAAGGCGACGTTTATGGTTTTATAGAGGAGGGTGGCCTGGTAATAAGGTTTATGAAGAATGGCAGATCTCAACCTCGGAACCCATGGCCAGAAGATGCTTACTAGAACATTCCCAAATTAAGATCGAAACTTTTCATCATGTGAATTCTTAATTGACAATGGCCGTCCCTCGTAATAGTGCGTATGCATATGCCTGTTTGCACGAAAATTAATTAGATCTATATTTTTAGACGTTCAGAGCAGATCAATATACATTATACTGTAGGCATGCTTTTTTTGTACGTGCCAAACCAATCGATTAATTAAATGTATTTCACATGTTATGATAAAAGGAATAAACACACAGTAATCTTTTACTTCTTTTACACTATTGATCGTCGCAAAAAACGTTCCTTTCAAAAGACTTTGAAGCGACCAAATATCGACGTTTTTTCCTTCTATGATACTCTTCCACACTAACTTGAAAATAATGCGAAGGCTCACAAAATATACTTTACATCTCCCATACCTCAAATCTGTCTTTAAAGAAAGGCAATCCACATAGTATTGACAAATAATATGATGAATATCTTGTTTAGATTCATGTCTGAAAACATAAGGGATATAGTATGCAATATACTACCTATGCAGGGTATATGTATTCATGAACATAGCCCTTTAAATCTAAGTACTGAATGTACATGGCAGAATACGTTTAACCATTAAATAATGATTTTTGCAATGATAGTATTTCAGTAATTATTTTGTCCTTGATATACGTGGATGTGTCGTGGCCTAGTGGACACGGACTGTGGATCACATGGTTCGCGGTTCGAGTTCCGGTACTAATGTATTTTGGCGATACACATCTATATCTAATACCACACTCGACCCTGGTGAAGTAAATGGGTACCTGGCATGAATTAAATCCTTGAAATTCTAGAACGCCATATATAATGGCAGCAATACTGAATCCGAGGAGTGTGAAGTCTGATAGGCACGAGCGCCATACTATTATTGTTATCATCACTATACATTTATAAGATTCTCCATATAAGTTTCTGTAACTGTATTAAAGAATAACGGCGCCGATACGCTTCCCTGTGAAATGTACTGCACACCATTGACATGGTGTATAATATTAAACGATTCCGTGTTTTGATGTCAACTGTTAACCAGCTATGAAAATAAACTATCATTATTAATCTGCTTACTCTATATAAGAACATAATTTCAAGCTCCTTTGAAGGATTATGTACATATTTTGTACATATATATTTTTTAAATTCTAACTATTGTTAGTTAACATTAGAATGTTGAAAGAAAATCTTTTTTGAATTTGAAACCTGCCCTTTTGACATATCTAACTGCGCTTAAAATAATTTTCTTAATTATTATCATCTTTGAGGGTAGCCTAATCATAATTAACACTGTTCTTCCTAAGGGCCCTGTAATTGAGTTTGCTTGGGAAGATTAAAACACTGCTGATGGACTATCTGAAACAATCCATTCTATTTCATCTATGTGAATCGGTCTGTTCTTTAAGGAATTACTCACTTCGATCCTACTGTGCGGTTGCAAATTGTTCTTTTTAAGTTGAATTACGGACACAGATACCGCAGCCTGCATATTGTCACTCAATGGAAACTACATTTACCTTTACTCTGGACAATGATGCACATTGATTTAAAGATATCTCGTTTATACTACTGTTTAGCTACAGCCATACTGTACATGTCCGTCTGGTCGTCTGTATTTTGGAGCACTAGCTAGGGCATTCATGGCTATGCATGAGTCACCGACGGTACGGGGCAACGTAGTTGTGACCAACGGGTCAAGTCGGGGTTGTATTTCGCCTTGCCGCATTATTCAAAGCCGCCATACATATTACGTGATTTCCAATGCGCTTTCAAACTGCATGCATGCTCTCGTGTCGCCCTTGCAGTTTGCAACTACAAAACAACGCGCCTTCGCATGCATGGGGATAGTGTGTAAAATGTGCGCCACACTCCCAATCATGTACATAATATGTGATTAGCCAGTCTCACTGAATTTGAACTAGTTACCTGACTTCGTTTCTTCTAAATATCGGCCATGTTGTATATATTTATATATATATATATATATATATATATATATGTAAATGTATATTTCATGAATAGAGCTAGCATTCAAAAATAGTTTATTTAAATCGCCAATCAGCTCTTACATTTCGCTCCAATTCTGGACTCAATTTTTAAACCATCTTCCAATCGATAGACTTTGGAACAAAGATTTTAATTATTGGTGGGTATAAAATATTATGAGCTTAAGTGTAAAGTTTTAAAGCGTAAGATACATAAGTCGTAGGAATATGTTACATTTATGAAAAATGTGAAAAACAGCAATACAAAGCGCACTTTTAAACATATGTCAGTATACGAACTAGTACTGATAAAGGTCAATATATATTTCTTTTCTAAATATGGCATTGCACGCATGACCATTGTACAAGTAAACGGTTGATTTTTACCGATAGGGTCACGACGCAAGTGAACCCGTTCGTACACTTTGATATTGATTAAAAATTATTTTGGTCTTACAATACATACATACATACCTATGCGCACTGACAAGTCATTCACACAAATTTCTGACGAAGTCCGAGTCTCACAATTACGAATGTTATTACTGCTTCCATTAATGAGGTACGGAATGGTAACAGAAAGCGTCTTAACAAATAGCTATTATGGTCAGATGGTAGTGTCACGCACATATGCGCACATAAGTTTTGGGCATATTCTATCATGCGGTGGCACATCTCCTATACCCAATGCTGGCCTTGGATACCCCCATGGACACAAGCCATTTTATTTGTTCTCTAAAACAACCAATCACTCTGGTCGTTTACCTCCCATTGCTATACCTTTGACAATGAAGATTTAGGAAAGTTCTTAAATGGGTTTAGAAGTGTAGACTTTAATAGAAAGTCACATGAGGATCCAATTTATAAATGTTCCATCATCAGTAGGTTCAGTTGAAAGGACATCACATTAGATGACCTACAAATCTTTTCGATCAAAATTACTGCACCAATTACTTACCACCTTTCTCCCTCTCAGAATTCTTTTAGTAGTTTCGAACATGGGATCTCCAAGGCCACAGCTCTACCGCTGAACCAACCTGGCTTCAATTTGCTCTACTCTCAATAGTCGTTACCCCCTATTGATCTATTAGAACTGGGACCCGTTTCACAAAGCCTTTTTTCAATGACATATTACAAAAATCAGTGACAAATCGGCTGAGAACCAATCAGAAGCAAGAATTTCAGTAGCTTAATACAAAGACTGTCATTTGTCACCGATGACAAGTTTTGTGAAACGGGCCCCGGGTCCAACGATCCATTTGTCCTACTAACTTCCCATTGGCCATTGTTTCCATTTTGTCCAACGTCCCATTCATCCTACTCCGTGGAGGTTTTGTAGTATGGCGGCAAGAAGGGCGTTCGATCGTGTACATTTATTGAGAATCTACGCACTTCTGGCTCTTGGGAAAGTGTAGGGGTACTGGTTTAACATACCTACCTATGGGTTAATGGGCCATTGAAAAACAGGAATGTAGGTTGACAGAGGGTAATCCTTGTGGATTAAACATTTGGCTGAATCATTAAGTTGGAACCCCTGTAGTCTGTCGAAGGGCAAAAGACACGTAGGACTACAAAGGGTAAACATGGGCGACCTACTATTTGGCTGAATCATTGAGTTGGTACTCCCGTGCTCTGTTGAAGATTTCCAGGAGGCCACTATCCGTCCAAAGTCTTTGGATTGCAGCTGTGAGTGAGGGGGAGTAGGGTGCTGAATCCTGGAGCTTACTCACTGTGTCATATACTAGCTGAGCGTCCTCCTGCAAATGCAAATGAAAATGAACTTAGATACAGGCATTCTGAAGTTTTTCGGCATTAATATTTCAGTAGCATCGCCAAACAAATTCCAGCCCTACTTCAAACCGATCGCCCGGAGGACTTCTGTCCGGGCTACTGTTAGCATTTTTGAATGGTGGTGGTTATTTAACCTGACTGCTAAGAAAGCATAAATGCTTGTAAGTGAGCAACCAAACGGCCGACGGCTTTAGGTCCTCTCCGAATGACCTGGTAATGAGGACTAATGCCTAACCAAAGGGCACTGGCTGGCGCATATCGCCTTGGTTTCGAACCCGGGTCACCGGATTACGAGACCACTGCTCTACCGACTGAGGTATCGCGCCTGGTGTCCGGGTTGTTGTGGTCGGGGTGCACATTGCAGAACATCCGTCACTCTATAAGCATGAAAGGTGCCATTACTTAGCATTATAATGAACTATTATACATTATTTTTTAACTGAAGCAAACATTTAAATAAGATAAAAAATTCTTGATTTTCGACTCTTCTCGAAATCAACCGTTTTCTTTATTGTAATACATCTGTATTTGTAATGTTATTTATTGTTTAAAGACAATAGTTCCTTCCACATATCAGATGCACTATTTCATCATAGACCAAGAGTCAACATTTATCTTAAATTTACAGCAAAATTACAATCTACCCCACAACGCTCGGGTATATGAGGTTACCTTTTGTTCTTTTTTCACGCCTTTATATCCGTCATATCTTTCTCTACACGTTCGCTTGAGGAAATATATAAATGGCGGCTGTTGACCCGGGTACGACGCGGGATGGTCGGCTTCCCGTCAAGCCCTCCACGAGATTAATGCATTCCATTTAGTGACGACTAAAAAAACGCGCTGATCTGATCAACGGAAAGGTCACGAACCCATCGCATTTTAAGTTGACGGATCTCCGAAGTAAAGAGAAAGACTCAGAAACTATAAGCCAGCGCAAACACAGGGAATGTACTAGCACTATAAAGCCTACACACACGTGGTTTAACGAGCATGCATTTTATGTGCAGGAAATCCTCAGCAATATGACGATTGAAACTCTGACGGGAATTCATATATTCCCAATGCATTTTCGTAGCGTTCTATAACTTCCAGATCTATAAAAAAAATCATATCCTATTTTGTATTAGTCTGAAAATTCTTTCTTTGAAGCAATGCAAAACCGTAATTTCTTTTTAGAATATCACTTTTTAATAATTTCATTTTTGAATACATGTTATTTTTGTCTATGCATTAAACAAAAAATCCCATGTTTTGATTAACACAAGATGCTCCATTATGCCTGGTAAAGTATGCATTATGGTTTTTGAAATAGAACAAAATAATTAAAGAAATCTGCCACCATTGAATAAGAAAAATAATAGTGAAGATATGTTTATCTAAATAAGGGTAAATGATGGAAAATAGAAGATTCATGCTTTGAATCCAACGATTTTTATCAGTTCACGAATTTCCGACGTACACTACGTTTTTGTCAAGTGGTAAGTTGTCAAAAATAAGGGTAAGTATTTGTAGAGCACTTGGAATAAAGTGGTTTATGTAGTTACTAGTTCTTCAATGAATTCGGTACTGCTTTTACAAAATATTGTTTCATGAGTGACCAATTTAGAATCAATCTCAACTCCGTCTTCAGAAGTATCTGTTATGGTTATGACGTTTGCCTTTTCATTAAAATTTGAATTACACTTTTAGCCATGTTTTGTTGTAGGGGAGTGAGGGCTGTGAAGACAGTGAATATACAGATTGTTATCTACAACTAAAATGATAAGACACAAGGAGTGCACCTAGGTAGTATTACGAATACGGAAATAGTTGTATGTTAAATAATTTTCCCTCAATTAAATACAATGCCAGGGTTAGGACTTTCATAAGATTTCCTTCAAATATTTCATTATAATGAAGTTATTTTTCAGAATCTTTATGTGCAGAACTATCGTTTCTGTATTTTCACCCGAACAAAATTACGTTTGCGCTGTGGAAGACTCGACAGCTAGGACACCTAATGGAATGTATATGGAGGTTGTAGATTTTTAAGGTCATAAGGAAAAAAAGAGCTTGCAAGAGAAAGAGGGTAGTATATTGATATTGATCGTGCACCTACATATTGAGTCTTACCACACATTATTGACGTCATAGAATAAAAAGCATAATACACATGCAGCTGAACGTCTAGCGTTTGACGTCACGTTAACCTAACTATGTCGTCACTATGTTTACATCGTCATAGGATAATCATATGAAACAAGGCGCCGCGATCACACCTGCAAGGATGTCTCACTTTATCTAGTGTTTCTACCTCCAATGAATTCGACCTATGGTTTTAAAGAATGTAGTTGTAAACATTACACAGTCGCTTTTACACATTTTATTCACAGTTAATGTGGTGAGACACTATGCATTACCACGATTGGCGATAAGGAAAAGCATCTTACTCCATGTTTGTACTCGCGATGAACTCCTTGCTCTACATATACACAAACACACGGAACACACTCACACACACACCATGCACACAACGCACACAAGGGGGAAAAAATCCCGATGTGCTATTTTTATCCGCAGTCACTTATCAGTGTGCAGTAAAGTCTGCAGCGATGATGGATTGCCTACTACGTGGGATTTGTGTACGGGTGTGTGGAGAGAATGAAACGCGGTGCGTGTGTGTGCGTATGTGTGTGTAAGTGTGAGTGTGTGCGTTGTGTGTGGCCTGGTGGTGCGTGCATGCTATTCTTGGCCCACATTGATGGGGAGAGAAAGAGCGAGGGAGAAAGGCTTTCTCTCTCTCTAGCTCTCCTCTTCGTTGAGTTGAGCGAGAGCAAAGGTGTGGTTACACACCACGCTATTCTTGACTTGGAGCAAATATGGGCATCATCGATCGTCGGCTGTGTACACGTCACATTAAGAGGAGTAAGATTGAAACCAGAATGCTTCTCTATAATCACTGAAATCCTCGTCTGAGATCATTTTGCCAAGGTCATGTACGTGGAAATGTTTGAATTAGGCTGCTCTGTAATACCCGTCTACGCCGAGCAATCTTATACCCATAGTCATGTGCAATTCGGTACTGTGCCTGTATGTGTCTACCAGTATATTTCTGTAAAATACTTTTTGCTTTTCCAAAATCGGAGTTAAATTTCATTTTATGACCTTGTACTAACATTATATGCAAGGAAATGTATCAACCGAGTCGCTTATAGAGAGAGACCAAAACGAAAAAGAATGTTACCTACTTGACGGTAATAATTTGTTTAAAAAGGTCATTACTTATTCAATTTTTTTAAAATTCCAAATGTCTAGAAAGATAGATAGCATTAAATTAATTTGTATTATATATCAGGACCAGCATTATATTTACCTTTAATCTACAAGCGAAGCAGGAAAAGAGAAGTAAATCGTTTAGATAAATTGTCCTTCCTGTCAAAAAGCTTTATGAATTTTAGCGTGCATTGATATAATTTCCGGTACTAATATTACTACCAACAAAGAACAGACAATACTAAGGAAATATAATTAACCTCACCTTTACTAGCATAAAGAGCATAATTGAAACATGACAGAAGTATGTAATCAAATTGATACTACATAAATCCAATTTATTATCATGATTACTTTCATAACCACGTTAACGTATCGAGATGTCGAATACTCCTACTAACACACACTTTGACACATACATGATATATGAGTTCAATTACTTTTGACTGCATACAAGTGTGGAATTAATTATCCCCTCTGTTCTAAACTAATGCGAAAGTGAATCCTCTTTCTGTTTCAAGGCAATTTATCAGCCTTCACATTTTGGAAATTCGCGTGGTTTAAATGGCGTTGAATATATAGGTCTATTAGATTCCAATCCGCATGGAAAATATTATAGCCCTACAATGCGCGCATAGTTTATTCTGTTAGATTTAGTAGCTTTTGTCCCCACAAATACACTATCATTCCAATATGAACCTAACAAAAAGATGCATCTCTGTCATATCAATTTTCATGATAGCTATAGTTTCTTTACTTCCTTTTGCTAACAAATAACTTTTCAATGAAGTCCTAAACTGATTACGGAATCGCAATTACAATGTTGAATGAAGATATTGGGCATTAAAAATGCATAGTCTTGAAGATGATGCTACAACAGTTTATGGTAACCCTCGAAGACAATTATCCTGGTAAAGTAATGTCATTGTGCAAGAAACTGTCAAGAAGTCACTTTGAAGGGTGATCACAGTTAACGGAACTACATTATGTGCATTATGAGATATTGGAGTCATCCGTTTCAAAATTATATCAATCTGATTAAACCTTGCAGTAAATCATAAACAATGACAAGGAAAAGACACAGATGCGGCCTTTTTACGTCAACTCCTTCATCGTTGAAGAGTTTGCACGATTTAGAGATCGTAGATTTGCTCCATCCATTTGGTCCGAACAAATAGAGGCAAATTATTGTCATGGTACAACGCTACTATAATATTCTAAAAGAAAAAGGAATAACAAGAATATTAAAGAGAACTCCCAATTTTGCAACTTTTGTTTAGAGCATTGAAACAATTCACAATTAATTGAGAGATGACTACTATTATATTCTTACACATATGGGAAAATAGGATGAACAGTAAGACTCATACGTATTTTCCCTGTAGAAGAACTCAACCATAATCTTAAAGTTAAGTATATCGTCTTTGCCTTTTTTTTTTTTATTCCTCTCCGAAAGGAGTATCAAACCTTTTCTCTTGCTTTGAGTATTGAAACCAAATGAAAACAGTTCCCAATTGAGACATAACTACTAATATTCTTCCATGTGTGGACAAACGAGGATGAAAAATGAAAGCTCACAAGTCTTTCTCCTAGTGGAGAATTCAACCTTATCTTTAAGCTAAGTATGTCGGCTTACCTCTCGCTCTTCCTCTCCGAAAGGAGTTTCAAACTTTTCTCTCGCTCTGAGCATTGAAACCATTGATTGAAGTAAGTTGCTATATACGACAGGTCTATACACCTTCGAGTCTTCTGCTGTGAAACCCTCTTCATGTATAATTCTGTGAAAAAGAAACAAAAGAAATTTGTATTGTGAAAGTCGTCTTGGAAATAGATGCTATTTGATTAGCATTAGTAGAAAAGATCTATACCTAATTATCATGTGAGAACTTGTCCCCAAATGCTAATTATTTGTAATACTACCAAAATCGCGGTATGCTCGAGTGCTTTCACATTTCACAAAACGAAAGACATAACTAAGAAATACACTTTCTTTTATTACCTGAAACATTTGGATATATTCTTCCTATCTGTTAAAGTTTAATGCACACTCCAACCATTTAATTTTTCATTCCAAACATCAGGCGCGGATCTACGGGGGGGGGGTTTAGGGGGTTTAAACCCCCCCCCCCCCCCCTTGGGCGGCCCAAAAAAAAAAAAAAAGGAAAAAAAGGAAAAAAAAAAAAGAAAAAAAAAAGAAAGAAAAAAAAGAAAGAAAAAAGAACGCACGCTGGAGAGAAACCCTTTCAAGTGCAAATATTGTGAGAAGATATTCAACTCATCTGGTAACTTAACCAAACACATGATAACTCTGGATATAACTGTGTATTTACTGTTACTTGATTTAAAAAGACGTTATCATGCACTGCTTTTTATGGTCTCCATTGTGTTAATAGATGCCAGGAAAACATCACTTACGGAGTTCAAATAAACACCCAAAAAAAAATCGGCTCGCCGCTTCGCGGCTCGTGGACGATGCTCCGCATCGTCATTATTTTGGTCAAACCCCCCCCTTAGCAAAAAGCTAGATCCGCCCCTGAACATTAACCGTAACTGTAATTGTTACATTCCATTCACAGCTTCTAATACACAATTGAAGCTGTGATCAAATTTGTATACAATGTAATACAAGACTAACTAGAGAAAATGAATTCCACTAGAATGTAATAAAACTCAGTGCTGCGAAACAGGAATATAAAGACAAGTGAAAACACGTGTTTAAAAAAAAACCCAGCATAATTTACCGGGAAACTGGACGGGAATGACTGGCGACACAAAGCGTGTTACCTAACCAGTAATATTTAATGCATACAAACTTTGAAATACAAAACATTAATCACTGTCAATTTACTTTCATCATATAGCTAGAACACGAGTGAGGTTGTCTATGAATAATATAAAGATTTGACGTTGTATTCGTCTTTGCTTTCGTCACTGGTCACGATTAATCATGTCATATAGTAATGGAAAACAACTTAAACGTAACATTAACGTTGAAAATATAATGAACATATAATTATTAAGAGAACTGTATCATGAAACGGATATTGTTGTTTGTATGTACTTTTTCACTTGAATAACCCAGGATTTATTCTTCTTCAAACGAACGCATTGTATTCTAATTTGTTTAGGTGTGTCTCTTTGCCATCAATATTTTGTGTAAAGATTGTCATAAATGTATTACTAATACCACATGTTGCTTTTAAAGAAAATCATTATTAACAGGAAATAATGAAGTTACATGACAATCTTATATATTACCCCACGTTGGTTTTTTAAAGAAAATCATCATTAATATTATGAAATAATAGAATTTGTACATAATAATATAAGAGTTCTTATCATACGAAAGTGATATTTGATGTATAACTTACAGTGGGTGGCATATCTATCTCTTGATTACCTCGAATGTTATAAATGATACAGATAGTTTAACGTGGGATTGACTAAAGATACGTTATCTTCTACGTCTTCATTTGTCATGCTTATCACACTTGTGAAATGTCCAGTGTCAAGGGTTTAACTAGAACGAGATATCATATCGACATTTCTATCCACAGTCTTCCCACATGGTATTTTTCTTCAAGATGGAATACTTTTGCCCTTTGAAAGCGACCCAATACAGATGTACGAAGGGAAATTAAGCATTTAGCGAACGGAGACGCCTACACAATAGCCCTAAGATTCATTTGTAAGAGAATGCGAAGGTAGAAACTCGTTGCTTATTGATCTCCTTACAGGAAGTAAATATCCGATTGAAATGTCATGTCATCTTCAGCCATATCCTTCTTTCTCTCTGATTCAATTTTGACAACAGAAAACGCATCGATAGCGTTTACATCAGTGCCTCCCACATTTTTAATATATTCTTTAGAAATATTTAAACACACACATAATTATATACTAAACTGAAGTTTCTACAATTTTCTGACGAAAATAACGACTATGTGATATAGGTATCTCAGATCAACATTGTAATTCCCCTTCTTAAACTCTCCCAAATGTTTTTTTGGTTTTTAGTAGAGTTAACTTTACGTAGCATGCAATCACGATAATTAGAATGTGCCTTCAGATCTTGAATTGAAATGAAGACCCATCTTGATAAAAAAACTGTTTTAATCTCCCTATCGCAGCTATAAAAAGCGATGATGTATACTTTTCCTTATCACAACCAGACAACATGTGCACGAACCGTTTTACAACCCACTGTCTTAATGATTATGTCTTTCATCGATGTTTTCACCATGTAAACCATGCACACCTCTGCTATTCCCCTTGTCTATTATTAAAGTACCAATTCTATGCTCCTAGGTTTCCAAGGCCTTTTGAATGGATTCGATCGGTATCCAAGCTCTCTCACTGTCAGAGCCTAGGATGTCTCTGGAGAAGGCATATGCGGGGTATTCTTCAGAGAGTTTACGGGTTAAGGGAAGGCGCTTGGGGTCATTTAAGGACCACTAGATCCACCTGCCGCACGGTATGTTTGGTTGTCAGAGAAGGAAAGCCCTGTTAGGACCAACAATCATTTCACACCCTGCTACACACCGACCGGTCTTTCACGCCTTGCTACCCGGCCGGAGATTTCACCACAACACCCACACCAATCTTAAAGGCCAACTTATCTTGTATTTTAGTATTGGGTTACCAAAGATGGTAAAGACAAAACAATAAAAACCCTTTTTCCTATATTCTTCATACCCTTTGGGTAAATTACCTGTAACTGACAACGCAAAAAGGAGGAAAAGGCGTTCAACGTTATAATTTCTCTTTTGTTCATTTTCCTGTAAGTATAGGTGTTTAAAAATTGCATGTACACAGGAGTTTTATCAATCTTGAATGAAATCTATTTAATGAGAAATTATGTAAAGCAGAGCAATGTAATGGCTTATAATGTGCTACAACACCATTATAACAAATGTTTGAAACAAAATCATTATGCGATGTTTACGATTGATCTCTAATCTGATGAACATGTACTGCGAATGTTATTTCGCTCCCGTTTCCAAGGGAAAGTACCATTAATAGTTCAATCCAACGCAATCACGCCAACGCATGCATAAATGCCATTTTCTATATATTTTTTACAAATTTGATTAAAAACCAATAAGTGTATAGATTAAGTGACAAAAAAGCTTTCTAGAAAATTATTTAATAAAACTGAAGACTCTCAGAACAGAAGTTGCGGAATTTATCCTGAAAACTCTTCGTGGGCAGTTATTTTTCCTACAATAATAATTACATTTCGTAACGTTGAATATGAGCATTAAAGGTGAGACTTTAAAAACATTGAATAACATGATAAATTATAATTATGTAATGATGACTACGTATGAAATCATAAAAGACAACAAGGTAGATAGTGGAAAATAGAAAAGTGCATTCAAAGTAAAAGACAGGGGAAGAAGAACGAGAAGAAAAAGTGGGAGATCAGTCATAAATGGAGAACTACCGGGGCATAGACAACACATAGAGTGAGAGAACGAAAGGGTAATATAACATGTATTTACATGTGTGTGCGTGTGTCTGAGAGAGAAAGAGAGGGAGAGAGAGATAGAGAAGTAAATATAAATAATGAAACGGAGAATTGAAAGGCAGACTCGGGGGATTTAGCGGTAAACGTGAATCCAGAAAGGAAGGTAAAGACAGAAAATGGGAGAGAGAGAGAGAGAGAGAGAGATAGGAAAAGAGGTAAAACAGATAGCGAGAGATAGGATGAGAGAAAGAGAGAGAGCTGCATGTGTCCCGCGGCAACAAACCGTCGCTGTCATGAAGACTCAGTGCGTGGGTGTGTACGTCTCATGATGATGTGGGTGAGTGTGTGAGGGTGAGAAGGTGGGTGGTTCACACACATTGACGTTTATGAGTAATGCATAACTTAATAATGCCGACCAGCGTTCCGATATGCAAACCGCAAATTTACTTATCTCGCATCACCATCTTCATGGTCGGTTCGTTTGGTAGGCTGCTTGCTTGGCTGGCTGCTTGATTGGTTTTTACCAATGAACACATTAAGGAAAAAAGGCACGGAGAATGACTACATATCCTCACATTCACAACTTAATATTTTGTTGTTTAGAAATTACAAATATATTTCTTTAACTCACAGGGATGAAAGTTATGGAACATTGCTATAAGTACAAAATGTTCTTAATTAAGTTCCATAATGTAACCAGGTAATAACGACATTGTATCCATTAAAAGCATTTAAATAATTTTCATCAAACCCTGATCAAGGTATTTGTCAGGTTTATCATGTTCATGAAAGCTCGTCTTTCAAAATGTAATATTCTTCTCGCAGATTTTTTTGCAGAAAAGTGGCTAAATGAATAGTGAGCTACTATAACCTATAACTCATTTTGCTATTCTTGACCCAGGTGTAGTCAGTGGGTACCCGTTCGGGATGCCCTGTGCGCCTATAACGGTTCCTGAAGCCAGGATAATAACATGTGTAGCTTTCTGGAAGCAAAAGAGCGACGTTAAATCAGTTTGCCCTACACCTGAGCATTATGATTAAAGCTTATATTTATCGTTAATATTCAATCATTATTGTGTAGCATGGAAATGTTTGATTTAAAGGAATATAACCGACGATCAGCCTGGCAGTTTTCAAATACACTCTATTCGATTGAAAATCATTTCCTATATTGCAATGGTTTAACCATCCAACAAATCTTTCAAGAGGCTCTAACATAGTGCAATACAACTGTAATAAGGGTTTGGGATAATATCGAGCTATCGACCTATCCTGAAGACCAGCGACGATTTTTCTCGCTTAATTTGA